GGTGGAATTCAAAAACTATTTAATGAAAGGGAAGGGGGATACAATTTAAGGGGTCAGTTAAATTATAAAATTCATGCTATATGTACAACCAAAAAAAGATTTTGTATTTCCATAAGTGGGGTAAATCTATGGAGTAATTTAAGTGTGGACATAAAAAATAGTAATAGAATTGACGAGTTTAAACATAAATATAAAGGTATGTGTCAATCAAGATATATGCAAGAACAGGTTTAATGATTAACTAGATGGAACATTGTGGGTGTGGTGTATGATTATTAACACTCTGTTATAATTTTTTAGTATATTACTTGTGTGGTATAGAAGACAATTATCTAAGTATGTAATTATGTAAGAATGTTAACACTGTTATATTTTTTTAGTATATTACTTGTGTGGTGTAGAAGAGAATTATTTATGTAGAGATACTGCTTGCAAACCAATGATGGTAAGATGATGTCATGGGGTAGGACTGGATAAGTCTGACTTCTTCCTAATCCATTCAAGCATGTACTAGGTATAAGCAAATTGATATTGGATTAGCATTTGTTGGATATGTGTGAAATTGTGTGTGTTGACATATCAACTGTCTTTATATGCTTGAAAGAATAAATAAATCAAATCAAATCAAAAAGTACAGTACATATTTATGTGGTTTCTATTACTGTCATGTTTTCCTATCATATAAACTTAATGGAGACTCAGAGTGAAAGAAAAAGCCATTAAAATGGGCGTGACCAGAGTTTAGAAGGTAGCAGGTCATAGTTCCTGAAAAGCTGGTGTGTGCAGTGCATTCTAGAGAGGAAGAGCAAACTTCATCAGTTCATTTTGTCACAGGAAATTAACTGGGGGTTGGAACACAGGTTAACAGCACTGCTGCTCTTTTCAAACCTCACAGTTAACACTGAACATTAATTTCATGCTCTGAGAGTTGCCTTCAGAAAGGCACAACAATAAAATGCTAATAAAAAAACACCCATGTTCCTATTAGAAACGCTATGGCTCAGTGGCTAAAAGTTCATGTTCTCACTGTGCACAAGCTGTAGTATAAAAGAAGTTAATCTGAAATAAGTGGTGTTCTTCCTTCAATTTCTAAAACAGTTTACTGAAATGAAGCCGACAGCTGCTTCCCTGCAAATCAACATATCCTTTTCCATCTAGCCTAGCATGACTTGGATTCCTACCCGTCTCACTGAGCAACTCTTGGAAGAATTTCTGGTTGTAGATGCGAGCCACACCGCTGATCTCTGCTACCTGGGCCTCAGCAGCAGTGTTGTTGTTAACAAAGTTGGCTGTGATACCAATAGCCAGCTTGCCTCTCAGCTCCTTGTGCTGAAAACCTGAGAGTTAGAAAGGAAGAAAGAGGAAACTGGACTAATGAAAGCTTACTTACTGAATAAGACTGCCAGAGGAAGTTAGTGTCTAACCACAGCTGTGTGTGCCCCCTATTTGCAACAGTGGGAACAGAAATGATTCTAGTTTGCATGTGTGTTTGTCTCACCATCAGGGACAAACCTGCCTCCTCCAGCAGAGATGAAGACGTCAAACTGGAAGGCTGTGGCAGGATGCGAGCCGGGCTGCAGCTTGGCCATCCAACCTGTCAGAAACACTAACTTTTATGTACCCTGGCAGATTTCATCATTTTTTCTACTTTACATACTGCTGGCTTATAAATATTATCGGTTAATCAATCAGAGGACATACAGAGCAGAGCTAATGGTGGGAGTGATTGCTGGTTCACAAATGTATGTACCGTTTTCTCCTGAGGGCTCAATCAAGCCCTGGAACTCCACTCCAGTGTGCACCTCCACCCCGAGGAGAAGTGACACTTTCAATAGAATCAACTGCAGCTGACGGATGCCTGAAAACACACAGGAGATATGTGTGAGATAACCAAGATGCTAGCACTGAAGTCAGTCATGCCAACAGAAAACTCAGGGCCTATGTGTCCTACTCTCCACTAAGGCTCCAAAAACTCAAATTCACACAGAGGTGAGGTCCTGTAACGTCCCCATTAATGGAATACAGTTTTTGATCAATTTCTTACTCTCTCAAACTATTTACGTGTCAAATTAAGATATATCTTTAAAAAAGTTTATTGATCAAGCCAAAATTGCAGCACTATTGAAAGCTTTTCAAAACAACTGCAGAGCTGGGTGACGGTACAGAACAGTGCTTAACGCACCATCATTAGTCACTCACTGATGTGATCCAGAGAGCCGGTGCAGAATTTCCCATAGAACTTCTTGGCTCCGAGCCCACGGAGGTCACAGATGGTGTAAGGCCACAGATGCAAAACATTATTCCTGGAGAATGCCTCTCTCTTCTCCAGCACCACCACCTGAGCCCCCAGCAGGGACAGTTCGATGGCCGTTCTCAGTCCACATGGCCCCGCACCCAATACAAGACACTGAGACAGTAGAAGGAAATCAGAAAAACTGCCAATGTGGACCTTTACAGTCAAAGACGGAGGAAAGCAGGTTTATAATCCCTCTAGTAGGCCAATTAGTGCAAAGTTAAAAACTAAGTCACATGATGAATTGGTTTCACTGAAGTCCTGCCAAACAGGAATGATGACATATCCTCCACGGGCCAATCAGTATGCTTCAAAAATTGCTGGAAAGGACCACTGACAAGGTTGCTCTAAATCTGATCAGCCAATCAAAACGTGCACGAGGAACGACGACTGAGCTCTAGTCCAATCCCAGCGACATCTGATAATTTGTTGGGCAGCACAGTGCGGCAGTGGTTAGCATTGCTGCCTCTGGGTTCGCACATCGCAGACGACCGGGGCTGCGAATTTGTGTGCAGTCTACCTGTTCTCCCTGTGGCTCTGTGGGTTTTGTTCATGTACTGTAGCTTCCTACATGTAGACAAACAACCACACTCACTCCTACAGGCAATTTAGAGTGGCCAGTCAACCTAAGCTGCACATCTTTGGACTGTGGGAGGAAGCCGGAGAGAACCCACGAAGGCTCAAGGAGAACAGGCAGACTCCACACAGAAAGGGGCTTGAACCAAGAACCTTCTTGCTGTGAGGTGACAGCGCTAATCACTGTTCTGCACCAAGAACGACATCAAACATCTTTAAACTAAAAAGGCAGAAATCTCAAGTCAAACTCTTGCTTCCAAATCCTTTGAGAATACACAAACAAGCTGAGATTGACTGGTTGCCAGTACCTTGTTTCCGGTGCAGGCTTTTCCTTGCTGGTAATCTGCATGAGATGCCCTTTTGTCCAGCTTTGTCCACAGGGCTTTGGCCTTCCAGTAGTTCAGTCTTTCCTTCAACTTGCTGTAGAAACTCCTATAATCCTTAGGATCGATGTCCAGTTGCTGGCAGAGCTCAGCAAAGTGATGCTTCACATCCTTACAACTCTGCGCTTGGATGTAGAGGTCAAATGTAGCATGTGAAGGGTTGACAGAGTCCTGGCTCGCCATAGTGGAGGACTGGTTCCTTCAGTCGCTGGCTTTGTTAGTTAACTGTAAAAGAGGAAGTTCCACATGGTATTAGCACTTCCTTTCACTGTAAATAATTAAAGCCTGTGTTTTCACTCTTATGCCTACTGTGCAATGAGAAGTTACTTCCTCATAGTCTCCAATTATAGTCCAGCTGTTTAAAAGCTGAAGACATCTTGTCAGATGGCTGGCTGAGTCATTACCAACTTCGTCAGCATGGTTTACTTATCTTTTCCTTTTTACGAGCCGCCCACAGCTGAGGAGTCATTCTGACACATTGCCTCCAGACATGAGCCTGTCTTTAGTTTCAGCGCAAATTTACACAGTTTAACAGAAACATACGACGACACATAGTGAGAATATACAGTAACATTTCCCACATTTGGACTGGAAGAATTGTTGTGTATTACTACTGTAGGAAGCGGTCAGCTACTGGAACCTCGGGTCACAAACAAACAGCGTGAAGCTGTTTTTGGCTGATGCGCGTCAACACCAGGAAATTAGGACGCGAGTCAACCCACGATGATGCATCAGTTCACCACCAGTGTGTGGTGCTCTATTAAGGCAAAGAAAGAATGAGGGCTGTGGAGTTTGTCCCTGTGGCTGCAACTTACTTTAATTATTGATTAATGTGCCAATCGTATTTTCTTCTTAATCAATTAATGCTTAAGATAATAACATTTCAGGAAATAGTAGAAAACTCCTGTTACAATTTCTCACAGCTTGCTTTGTTCAACCACAACCAAAAAGTTATTCAGTTTACCATCATATGACAAAAGCACATTTGGCAGAGTAATTTTCTGTCAATCGACTAATCAGGTAATGAAGTAATTATTGCAGCTCTAGTAGGATCAATAATAGATTTGAGTAAGACAACTGTGAAAGGTGATGAACAATTGGCTGCCCAGCCGTAAAGCTCCTGTGGTCATGTTGATACTGTCCAAAACATTGAACAGTTATAGCATTGCTCTACTCAGGTAATTAGAAATTCTTTAGAAACGTCCCATTACCTTCGATATACAAAATGAGCTCATCTGTTCAATCCATTTGTCAACATGTACTTAAGGTGGGTCATTTTCAAAACCTAGAGGCACCACGGGCAAATCGGCTAATGCTGACCTTAAAGGTCAATATTGCGTTCAAGCAATAAAAGGAATGTTTGCAGCGCTGTTCCTACAGAACACCTCTACCACATTTTAACACGTTTCTATCTGCAACATGAAATGCTCAAACATGCACACAGTGCTGTTTATGTACTGTTCGTGTTGTGGCTGACATTTCCTGTAACAAACGCTCGTGCATCGTTCTGCAACCTGAGACACAGCGGCTAATAATTACAGACCACTGCAACATGTGTATGCACGACTCTGCTCGGGCATGTGGGTGAACAAGATGGAAACTGCCTTTAAATTGCTTTTCAATCCAACATTCCTCTGTGACACTTGAACCACTGATTGTAGATATTCACTGCAAAACAACATTATGATGACATTCTGTAGCTTTCTATCCATCGCCATAACAAGCTGCCCAGTCGTAACCTACATTAAATAGACAAATAACTCTGGAAATGCATGTGAAACCTCCATGGCTTGAACATTAAGGCAGTCCAGCTTTAATGTGACCAATGTTTCTAAAGAGCATCCAGAGGCACTTCAATCTTTTGATTTTTAAAATAATTATAGACAAATATGTGCCCAGCTTTCATCAGATCTGCTGTTTCCCGTGCATAGAAGCCTCCTGACATCTGCATATCAAGGTAGAAGTGCCCTAACAGGCTGCAAATGGAGCTATGACAAAGAAAACGCATTTAACAGGTATGAGGAGGCCTGTGAAGGCAACCTGTCAAACTAAAAATAGCTCAAATGATCATCTTGGCACTGTCATAACATTCTCAAGGAGGCTGCTGTATTTATACCCTGTGCTACATTTTCTGTTTTAACCAACTTTAAAGATGTAGAGTAGCAGTAGAACAAACCACATAAAAGCTCAAGTCCTGCTGTAGTCAAGCTGACACACAGCACCAACTCACAGTTGTTAAGCAATTAGAGAAGAGACAAGTTTCAGCAAGACTGGTGTGGACAGGATGAGACAGAAACAACCAGGACTTAAAGGAGAACTGACCTGGTTTCCCTTGGAGTCGGTGGACTGACCTGGACTGACCCACCTTATTACAGGTGTAAACAACGATGTGGATCAGGAGGCAGGGCCAAACACTGACCACCAACCTGGCGGGGCGGCGGCAATGAGAGGTGGCAGAAGGAGGAGAGAAAAGAAAGACATGTCATTTCCTGAACTTATCTGGTTTCAACAGACGTCCGTTGTTTCACACAGACATTAAAACAAACTCTAAGGAGAACAACAATGTCAGGAAGCTTATAGCCCCAGCGTGCGCTCCGCGTGTATTACATCCACCCAAGTCACACACTCGAGCCTGGGGAACTGATAGTGACCGTTTTCACTCAGTGCCCTGATTCTGGAGGTATCAATACTAGTAATACATGAGAGGCACAAGCTGGAGCTGGGAATCCTATAAATGAAGAAGCTGTGCCAAAGCAGGCAGCAGGCGCAGCTGGTTACAGGAGCAAACACAGCTCAAGGATAAAGAAAAGTTCTGAGCATCGAGCTGTGTGGACACAGAACATATCTAGACTTATGATTTTAAAAACTCTTTCATTCGTTCATGGATTTTCACAAGAGATACGCACGATGTCCCCAGAAAGCAGCAGCACATCATCAGACTGGCAAAATGTAAATCTTCAACTTACAGCACAGCTTCCAATCACAGTGAAAACAAAATACAAAAGCACTTTCGAGCCACACATGAGCGCTGTGAAGTCATTAAATTAACATTAAATGCGTCCTGATGTGACATTATCCGCTGTAAAGTCGCGATAGGAGCGTGAAACCACGTCCTTGGCGTCGTTTACTTGTTCGATTTTGAATCAGTTTAATCAGTTTAAAAGTAACGAGCCTCACCTGCACCTCACGTCTATACTGCACCAGCAGAGCCTCTTCCGGGACTTTCAGCTGAAACCACACACAGCGAGCTGCAGCGCACGTCACGAGCACTTATAGGTGATGTGGATACCCAGGGGCACGCACGGATCACTGGTGTGTAAATCAGCATAACAACAATAATAATAACAAAGCTAAATAAATGTCCTACGAATGCCACAGTTGAAGGACTTTGTGACTAAGACACTGTCACCTATCGCAAAGTTTGATTGATTGATTGCACTGATAGCAGGTTTATTGTTGTAGGTGGAGTAGAACTTTGGGTGGAGGAGGTGGAACAGCTTTTACTACACCAGGTCTGTATAAAGGTCCACTGGCTTCCAGCCTGGTTTAACTTATGACTCCAACAGATCACCATCTAAACTTGGGTGGTTCTGACATCTGGTAACACATATTAACAACAATATAACAAAACATGACACCAGGGGGGGGGTTTCCATAATGAATAAGTTAACTTTGATCACTTTAAGGACGCTGTAGTTTGCTGATAAAACTGTGTATTTAAATAAGTAGAATGTGAGCACGTCTTTGGAATGGCATTTCTTTAAATGGTTGTACTTATTCCAGCACTGCAGTACATTTGATTTATAAACATAAGTAGTTTACTGTACAATACACATATAAGATAATACAATGTTACATATGATTTACTTATAATCAGAAGTGTAATTAAAGATGAAAGAGGTTTTTAGGCTGGGAAAATAACCATAAACTCCAGTGTATGCTGTATTATATACTGTAAATATATATAGTATGTCTTAGTGGATTTGATGTGTAGGCCCTATTGTGCTTGTTCCAAATAGCCACAAACATATTAGTAGCTTTCTACTCAGTGGTATTTTCTTTAAACCTCTGTACCACTATAATAATCCTACCCACTTTGGATTGTGGTAATTACATTTTCCACAACTTGAAAGGTTATTATTGAATTAGCTTATGAATATCTCCAAAAACAATCTTCCTGGTTTTAATTTTTAGATACTAAACAATCTACATAATGAAAAAGCGTGCATAGCAGTGATTATGACCTTTACTTTACCTTTACAGTATGAAGAGCTCACCGAGCTGTTTCTGATTAAAGGAAACATTCATTCAGTCAACAATCAAAAGAGAGGACTGTTGGCAATATACAGATTTATTCAAATGCACTTTCAAATTTGAATAATGTTCAGTAGGATTTAACAAAGAGCCATGTATCTGAGAATTGTCTCAGACTACAGTAGAAAAGAGTACACAGTATATATATAGGATTATCACAGATTTAAAAAAAATAGCTGCATAGCCAGAAAGGAGACCCAAAGAACCCCACAGGAAATGTCCTTGGTTTGGAAGCAAGGCTGCATACAGACAATATGACCCTTTATGTGCACTTTTTACCACGTTTGCTCAAAAACAGGCCTGGAAAAGAAGGGGCTGATGACAGACACCTCACTGCACCCGTATAGATCAATGCATCCACTGTGGCATTACCCATGTCCACAGGACATAGTAGACGCTACGCAAATATCAAGCTCCTTCTATTTGAGGCAACCACACAGTCTTCTATATGGAGCTATTTCATCATAATCAGTAGTGCTCTGTGAAAACCAAGCTGAAGTGCAAAGGACTGCAACACGCACCGCGTTGGTCAGGTGCCCTCAGAAAGACTGAAACGTTTGGTGAGAGTGACACTCGATTACCTGCTCATTTACCAGCACCAGCATGATTTGAAGATTATCATAATGCAAACATCTGTGGTTCCCACTGCATTATGGAAAAGAATAATGCTGGTATGACCAGAGTCCAAGACTGAACTTGTACAAAAAGTCAGGGAGTCTAGAGCGAGCTCATCGATTCTGCCAGTCATATTGAAAATGCACAGCAAAGTTAAGTATCACAGAACCACGTGCACGAAAACCATACCTGTAATGTAAAAGTGTTTATATGCATCTATTTGATATCATTATTGTCTGTTATTATTTAACCCACAAAAGTACCATAAATATTAAGTCTGAATGATGAGCTGACAGCAAAATTAACAGCTGGGTTAATTTAAAAGGAATAAATTATAAAGATGGTATATGCATAAATTATTTACAAATCAGATTCAAGATGCTAGTTTATGTGCTATACATGCTGTTTATGGGAATGCTACCTGGTCTGCCCCCTACAGGCTGGGGGAGGGCATGACCACAACAGAAACATCTCCAGTGTACGACTGAAGAAGCACTAATTAAGGACATACTGAGGCTGATTAAAAATATTAATCTTCATATTAATGGTCAGAACTAAAAGGAAGTGTGAAGGAGAACACATCTGACTTTAATTTCAATGCTTTATAAAACGTAACGACACCTTGAAACGGTGCTGGTGAGCCAGTTGGTACTGTAGACAGGTGCAGGATCACAAAACAGCAGATTATCCCTTGAGATGAACAACACACTCTCTGCTCACACAACTTAACCTTCATTGTAAGAAATGTTCAGAGTAGTAAAATACACTTTTACACAGTAGAAGAGAGTACAAAAGAGATTTTTCATTGGCACAAAATTCTAGTCTTCTCCATCCTGAGGTGACTGACAGTGATTAGTAGCCATTTGTTTGTAAGAAAAGTCACAATCAGAAACTAGAGAAATAAGCTCAACCTCTTCTCTTCTTTGTGGAGTTCTACGTTGACCACAGCGATAAACAACTTTGTCCAACTGGTGGGTGAGACCACACGCTCCGAGCTGGAGAAGGAGAAGGTGCCTCAGCCTGGCACAGGGGAAGCATGGTTGTAAAGTAAAAGTGTTCACCTGAACGATTTCCAGTTGATCCGGGTCTAATAACACAATCTGAAGATCCACAGTATCCTGGCAAATCATTTTATGTTCCAAATGGATGCTTCTCAAAATGGAAGACAGAGTCTGAGCATGTGCGTTTCAAAAAGTATCCCAAAGAAAATGTAGTAAAAAAATGTATTGATGCTGCCAAACTGGTAGATCTGTCAGGTGAATGAGTGCATGAAGAATACCTGGGGAATGTATATCATACAGTTACAGTGGGACGCCGTACAAACACAAGGAAGGTCGTAAAACCTGCTTGGCTGTGTAGGATACCGAATGACAAACAAAGCGCTGTGTAACACAGTCAGAATAATTTCAGTCCCTTCCTTTGAAAGAAGCTCTCGCAGCTGATAACGATGAACAGTATGACAATGACTTTGGAATGAAAACTGGTGAGAGGTTGAACGTCCCAGTGATGCTCCTTTATGCCAGAGAGTTACTGATTGTACCCAGAGCGTTGTCGGCTTTCTGCCCTGTTGAACTCTACATACGTGCCCTCACACGTACTTGTCTACACACTCTATAACAGATGGACAGTTTTAAACATGCAAAACGCGTGCACATATCCACGGTGGCCCCAGTTACAGGTTCTCTCCTGGCTGGTACTGAGGCTCCGTGGAGGTGAAGTAATCCTCCAAGAAGCCCTGCAGGTACTCGAAGGTGGGCCTCTCCTCGGGCTCTTTTCTCCAGCAGGTCAACATCAGCTCATGCAAAGATTCGGGGCAATCCACTGGGCACGGCATCCTGTAGCCACGCTCCACCTGGTCTAGCACCTCCCGGTTCACCATACCTGGGAGGACAAAGACAAAGACAGACATGATGTTGGGAACGTCTCAAGCCTCTTATACCATCATTCCTACATCCTCGTTTGACTAGAACAACTTCCGGGTCACCCAAGCACATTCTAAGTCTTGAGGACCGAGGAGCCATGACGGTGCTCATAAGAGAGTGGAAACGTACCCGTAGTTTGAGTCATGACTGCTTATGACTAATAGAGCATGATGTCAGCACCCAAGTCTAGATGATGCACACAATCTAAAAATACGCAGGTTAATCTCTCAGGCTGAAACAAGGCTTGAAGAAAAGATCCTTGCCTGGATAGGGCACTCTGCCTTTAGTAGCCAGCTCAGTCAGCAGGATCCCAAATGACCAGACATCAGATTTAATGGTGAAGCGGCCGTACAGAGCAGCCTCAGGAGCGGTCCACTTGATGGGAAACTTGGCTCCTGCAAGATGGGCGAGCTTATTAGCAGGATAAAATCATGTCATTCTGAGCAGCCACAAGTTAAAGACAGTGAACAACCACCAGAGAAACTGTGGGAAAAATGCCAGAAGCTAAGCTGCACCCTTCGGTGGCCTTACCTTGCCTGGCAGTGTATTCATTATCCTCAATGAGGCGAGCCAGACCAAAATCTGCCACTTTGCACACCAGGTTATCTCCCACCAGGATGTTAGCAGCTCTCAGGTCTCTGTGCACATAGTTCATCCTCTCCACGTAGGCCATCCCTGAAGCAATCTGAGAAAGAGGCAATGTCTGTGATTGTTGACAAGAAAGGAGGATTCATCTTTGTTATACAGTAACAAGTTATTAATGTTTTTACTGACCTGTGAGGCCATGTCCACCAGCTGGGGGAGGCGAAGCATCCTGCCCATGTCACCTTTTAGGAAATCCAGTAAGCTACCTATTAACAGGGACACATACTGCTGGTTAGTATAAGTGTAGGAGCTACTGTGGTCAGGTTTCTGCTTTTAGTGTTAATGTCCTGTTGTGCTGCTTCATGAAATCTTTAAAAGGAAGCAGCTTTTAATAAGAAAAAATGTGATGGTAAAAGTGTAATTATTAATGGGAACTGTCAAATTTCATTTTATTAAATGCAACACTAAATATAACATCTGTTTTTCAGGCAGTAAATGCCTCATGCTTGACTTGGTTTGATTGGCTCCACTCATTACAAACCCCTTCCAGGTTTTTATCATTTCACCTGTGGGCCTCCGTTCAGTAGACTCAGCTCAGCCTAATGAAAGAAGCAAACACCGTCTGCCAGTCTCTGCAGAACAAACCTTCACATTTACTCAAAAAACATTTTCACTAAGCTACAGCTGTGGCCAACAGTTAGCTTAGCTTAGCATAAAAATTGTCACAAAGAACATTACTTGTGTCCTGAGCCATACTGTGAGAATGTTTATATGTAGAAGTTCACGCTGACCTTGGCCCATGTACTCTGTGACGATGTAGATCGGCTCCTCAGACACCACAGCGTACAGCTGAACCAGCTTTTCATGTCTTAGTTTCTTCATGACCTGAGCTTCTTGGAGGAAGGCCTCAGGGGACATGGTGCCGGGCTTCAGGGTCTTGATTGCCACCCGTGTTGTGCCGTTCCATGTTGCTGATTAAAGGAGTCACAAGAGTCAAATCAGCATCGAATGATTCAACTCAATTCATTATCGGCTTTCAGCACCGAGTCCTGTGCAACCAAATCATCGGCGCTGCTACAAAGTTATTCAGCGATTCCCAACCAGCGAGCCCTCAGGGGTACTTCATGGTGGAGGAAGAAGCTACCCTGAGGCGAAATCTAGTTTGATTAACTAAAACCCCTGAGAAAAAGTAGTTCACCTGGTTACTCCCGGAGACCTACAGTAAACGTGTCCTAAAAACAAGCCCATCTTCACAAGGATCAACACACAGAGGAATGTTCTATTGCTGTTGTAAACAAATCTGGATTTTGTATCATCTGACTACAACTAAAACAGTAAAGAGAAAAATATTTAACCTTTTCGGTTTGACGGACTTGAGCACTGGTCAAAAAATGGGCCCCTTGTCTCATTATGACTTGTACAATCTTGACGACTAAAACAGCCACAACTTGCACTTTTTAGACAGTATGAACAGCTTGAACACCAGCCTGTCTTTTTACTGGTCAGAGCAGAATCTCTCGTTTACACATCTGACCGGAGGTTACGCTTTGTGAAACCAAATGAATCCTGCCTTTGCTTTTATGGCCTGAAGCTGTTTGCAGTTTCAGTAGTTAACTACACAAAAAATGGCAAAAAGTAAGTGAACTACTTGAAAAACTATGCAAATATGAATGTAGTTGAACTACCAGCAAGCTACTGCAAAATGTACATGTAGTTAAACAACTAGTTTACATGTAGTTCACTGCTCCCCAGCACTGGGCACAGGGAAAGATTGTGAGGAGCGATAACAACAAACCGCCACACCACAAACAAACAAGGGAATGTGGCTGAAACATAATAATCAGCTGAAAGTGAAACTAACTGCTATGTTGAAGCAAACTGACTGAAATAGCCACAAGTAGTGGATAAGTAGTTGGAGTAGCTACAAACAATTCAGTGGAATTAATGGCTAAATGGTTACAAGCATGAACAGTGGAAACAGCTAAACATGATGGTAAATGGCTGAAACACCAAGCTTCTGATGGAAACCACCACATATACATCCAACTGGGGGACCTTTCCCAAACATGCATGAAATGCTATTTCTCAGTCAAATCCCACATCACAGAAGACAAGTGACCTGCTGAGGCTACATTTCCATTAGCGTTAGCTCACCTCGATCATTTGGCACACTGACTGGGACCATGAAAGATTTCCATAACGAGCAGGAAAACGTCAGTTATCAGCTACAACAATAACAGCAGCATTAGAAAAGAAAGAAGAAAACCCTGTGCACTTTGCAGTGATGTGAAACTTTGCGCTGCCATGCGGTTACTTCCACATAGCAGCACATCAGTGTGGCTTACAACTAACTTCCTTTCACCATCAACATGTGTAGCCACAGAAAACCAGAAGTCCAAAGAGGAACTTTGTCTTCTCGTTGTTTTTGGGTTTGGACTCAAAAGCTTCAAGAAATAGATGAAAACACTGCTTACCCATCCAGACCTCTCCAAAGCAGCCCTGCCCGAGCTTGAGGTCAAGCCGGAGGGACTCTCTGGGGATTTCCCAGGCATCCTTGGCTAAGCCCTGAGTCTGAGGCTTCAGTACAGGACAAATGTCTGTTAGATTGTGACACAGTCCATCAGCATGCACTGTGGAGACAAGACAATGAGACTGGTCAGTGGTAGAGTCAGGCTCTTTACTGCCCACTTCATTGATTATCACACAATATTCTCCTGATAGTGCAGGAACCTGCGAGAGTATCTAATGAATAAATAATGTGATCCCTGTCGAGGACTGGATGCTAAAGTGCCTTTCATTTGTAGTGAACTCACTGCGATAGTGATTGACAAGCTGCTGCAGGGTGCTGAACTGTGTGCGTGATGTGATGTAGAAGCCTCCACTATCCAGCTTCCTGATCTTGTAGTGCTTCACATTCAGCCCTTTGGTGTTGTCATAGTCCAATACAGACAGACAGTAGGCACCTGAAAAGAAGAACAGCAAATATGTTAATACATGATCTGAAGAAATCTATAATACCCAATTCACACTGTCTAGATGAAATCTTTCATTTATCATAAATTTACTCAAGCAAAATAAACCAGGTGATAAACCTGCTGGAAATAAAAAGAGTCGTTAGGTGTTCATTTTATGGGGCTATGTTTTTGTTGCACCACCAGAGGGCAGCATGACTCTGTTTGAATCACAGGGCAGCCCAAGGCACGCCTAGCCGTTCTCTTACTGTTTGAACTGGGCTATGGCCCCTGGGTGTACGGTCCTCAGCCGTCCTGATTCTGTGTGGCCCAACCGCCCGCTACCTCCTCACTGCTCCTGCGCACCTATATGCTCGCTTTCCATCCATCCCTGCTCACCTTGTGACTTTTCTCATTCTAAGCAGAACTTGTAGATACATATCCCATTACAGGAATCCTGAATTGTACACGCACGTCACACACGAACCTACATAGTCATCTGATCTGTCTGCTGCGAGTCCCACAGGCATCACGTTGGCCTGATTCGTCTCTCTTCTGTACTCGCACTGCTACACGATTGACACGGCACAGCAGGAGGCACAGTGAAGAGCAGGGTGTCATGTCTTTGCTTTCTTCTCAACGGTGCATTTTTAGGAAAATGTGGCACAGAACTGAAACAAGCTTCATATTGAGGTCAGCGGTACAGAAATAATTAGATTTATTTTAAACAAAATTCCAGGACAAACGTTCTCTGGGTAGAACTGCTGATCAATACCATAGACTAAATAATTGTGTCTACATCCCAAGGCTACATTCTCATACTGCCATAAAGAAAACTCCACTAAATGACAGTTAAACCTTGGGTAAAGTCATAACACTCCTCAGAGCTCCCTGAAAGATAGTTCTGTTTAACAGGGCTCGATATTTGAAACTTGACGATACAGGTGGAATATGGTACGATCTCAATGCGATCTCACACCCAAACTGGAAAACTCAAAAGCCTGTTCTGTTTGTTATTGTATACCGTCCACCTGCTCCTTATTCAGAGTTTTTAAGTGAATTCTCAGACTTTCTGTCTGATTTAGTGCTTAGTACAGATAAAATAATCATAGTAGGCGACTTTAATATTCATGTAGATGCTGACAATGACAGCCTCAACAATGCATTCTGTTCATTATTAGACTCAGTTGGCTTCTCTCAAACTGTAAATAAACCCACTCACTGTTTTAATCACACTCTTGATCTTGTTCTGACATATGGCATCGAAACTGAACACTTAAAAGTTTTCCCCCATAACCCTCTTCTGTCTGACCATTTTCTAATAACTTTTGAATTTCCATTAATGGATTATACTCTATGTGGGAAACAATTCCACTACAGCAGATGTCTATCTGGCAATGCTGTTACCAAGTTTAAGGAAATAATTCCATCTTTATCTACTTCAGTGCCGTTTGCCAACACAGTGGAAGGAGGCCACCTTAACTTTACTCCCATACAAATCGATAATCTT